GGCGCCCGGGCCGTGCGCAAGGCAGCGACTCATGCAGGGAGAGCGGCGGCGGCCGAGGGGGGGGCCTCCCTGGGAAGCCCCCGCCCCGCTCGGCTCACACCGGCCGCGTTTGAGCAGAGCTCAGCTGCCTGCTGCGTCACTCGCGGCACGGACACGTCACCGGCCGGGCCCAGGGGCACGGCGCAGGCGCGGGGAGCTCGGAGACTCGTGAGCCCAGCGGCGCTGTCGCCGGCTGAGGTGAGGCGTAGGCGCCGTCTGGTCTGATAGCTGAGCCGGAAGGAGTTTAACACGGCGGTGTGCTCGGGAGGATGCACCTGGACCCCGGCCCAAATGCGGGCAAGACTCCCTACAAGAGCTTCCCAGTGGCCAGCTTCCAGGAGGAGGATGTGGGCTACGCGCCGACCTTATATTTATTATTTATATAGCGGATGCAAATCCGCGAAGCCAAAGAAGGCAAATGCCTAATTGTTTTCGAAGCCAAGAAGTAGCCTCTTCCTGAACTACGTTTTGCAGTATGGACTTTATGGGAATGGAGGACTGCTCTCCAGCTTGCTCCTGGCGCTGTTGGCTGAGAGCAAGTCAAACTCGTAAGCATCCGAACCCCAATCTTCCCAAATAATTTTTAAAAAGCAGCCTCAGCGGGGGCTCTCCCAGGGGCTGGGGACCTACAGGCTGTGCTAGACCAGCCCTGAGGCACCAGCCATCACCCATGTCCCCAGGCCCACAGAGTCTCCGCACGCAGCTCGCAAATCCTCAGCACCCCTCAGCAGGCCTTGGGTGAAGCTGGAGATGTGAGCAGTGTTGCCAAGTGTATGATAATTATTATACACATACGATCATTTCAACCCTTGTACAATGTACAATCAATAATAGTAAAAGTGTTCAAAATATACTTTAATTTTTAGAAGCAGCTAGTTAATGCAGCATATGCAAAACCCAAGTAAAGCTGTCTTAACTGACTTTTGGGTTTGCTATCAGCACTTTCTTAATGTTGCTTGCCTTGAACTTTGATGACCCACATAATTGACTGGTGCCTCCCAAGACTGGGGGGCACTCTGGCAAGCAGGGACCATCTGTATACATCAGCAGCACAGCAGGTAGCGAGCAGAGATCACCTGCAGATACTGGTGAAAAGGGGTAGGTGGAGATGAGCAACAACTACGCACAGAAGCTAGAGA